GCATGTGTTTCTAGACAGAGAGATTTGCTTTAAACTACAGAACAGTACTGTAGGCATACAATTCAGCAAGAGAAAATTACTTTCTTGTATAAAATTTTCCACATTAATCTTTGTAAGAATAATTCTGCCATTCAAAATTTGTTACACACTGATGTTCTTAAATCTTCATGTTACTACTATCAAGGCGTTTTTCACAAACTCTCTTATGTATTTTTCTACCCAGAACGTTTCATTTTAATTCATGCTAATGAATATTCAAGAAATAGCAGTGTTTGTTTAATATCAGAGTTTAAGAAAGAGTTTCACTCCTCAAGTTAATTAAATACAGCTGTAAACTGATAGAAAAATTAACAAGGTCATATACAGCTTTCTAATTCTTTAAATCTGGTGCTTTCATCTACCTATCTGCACCATCAGCTCTTCATCTCCTTTTAGAATCTCATTGGGAAACAAATTTCCCCTTTACCTCTACTGCCTGGTTATTTTTTCTTATTTATTAGTTCAACTCTACTGGAGTGGAGGAACAGTCATATCTGACATCCCACATATCTTGTCCACTCAGTGTCAATTAGAGGTGCATTAAAATTTTTATGTGAAAACTACCTGTAATTTGCAAACTAAATCTGCCAAAAAACGAAGTATTTTGTCAAAGAGATTTGGTACTGGTGCAAATTTCACCAAAAGTCAAGGAAGTGAAATATCAGCCAGTCGTTCCGCATCCTGCTCTAGAAGATACTTTATTTCAAGATGTCACTGCAGTGCCTTGGGATATTGCTAAGGTGCATTTTATAAAATCTCTTCCCTATAGACCAGCTTTGTCTGCTACTTACATATTATCCTGTAGCAGAAAACATCCAGCTGGTGTATTTGGGCCATGTGGGAGAACTTAATATAGTTTCTGATATGTATACAGCTTGGTATGCTTAACACAGATCTCAGGGAGTGCTAATTTTTGATGATTAACTTCGAGAGTTTGGGTGGAAGAGGGGAGGAAAAAGCATTTTCCAGTTTAACTACAGCACTTCAATGCAGCTGGTACGGTTTATATCCACTGTGTACCTGTTTTATTTCCCATGAGAGAATTCCTACAGAAGGACTAAGCTTCATTACGAAGCTGTGACAAGGTCATATCTTATCCTTCATCTGATTTGAGAATTCAGTCTGTTTATAGGTAAATAGATTATGATGCCCTGGAATCTTTCAAAAAATTAAAAGTCAGAGTCTGAGATAGTTTTAAAGTATGAAGGAAACAACTGACTTCTTTTAGCAATAAAACTGAGGTTGTATTGAAATTTGGCGTCCGGCTTTTGAAGAGAAAGACAATAATGCCTATGAAAGATCTTTTTTTCTAAAAGTACTTTGCTATTTGTGAAAGATATTTAATATCTTTCACAATATCTTTCATTATCTTAATATAGTGAAAAAGAATGAGTAGATAACAGACTATAGAATTCGGAAGATATCCTGTATCAACGGAGATAATTTGCAAATGTTTAGTATATATGAACACTACGAAGAAGATCTATGAAGAAATGCTTTTCAAAGTACATCTTAGATCTGTAAGGTGAAACATTTAATGGATTCTTTGTGTGTTGCTATAAGGACTCACTTATAATCCAATATGTCAAATGTTTCTAATCGCGGAGTCTTCAGAATGATTCAAAATCTACCAGAAATAAGACATTTCAACTACCAAGCCTCAACATACAGTATTAGTTCAGGATCATACTACTCCACCTCTGGTTATAGCACATAAATATTTATACAATTGAAAACTTTCTGTCTTCATTGCAACAGAAACCCATAGCATCTTGGACTGATTACGTTCACTGCACTTTTGGCTGAAAAGCTGCAGAAAAGAGTGAATCTATATCAGCCAACTACATAAATACACACGAATGCATTTTTAAAATGTTCTCAAGATTTTCACTTTCAGAGACTGATAGAAAGGCAAACAATATTTTGTTAAAGTTATGGGTCTGCATATTTTGTAGTAATTCATTGAAAAAACGAAGGTCATGTGGAAAAAGGTGCTTTAAAGCAGTCAAATTACTGAGCCTCTTTATTGTATTTTTAAATTAATGTATGGCTTCCATGTTTGCAGTTTATTAATATCCTTGTATAACTTTCCTTCTCTACTTCTCAATTACATGGTCCTATTTTTCTCAGAAGATGTGAATTTATTTTTCACAGAGAGATTATGGGCTTCATCTCTCTACGGTTCTCTGTGTGCAACTTGTTGCCCAAGACTACAGATATAACTATCATGCATACCTTGCACAGTCTAACCTTTTTCCCTTGTTCTGCTTGTTCTAGATATGCATGGAAGAATGCTCCTGTGTCTTCAGGGTTCACCATCCCTAATTTATGTTACTTATAAAATCACTGGAAACAGCCTCATTTTGTGGAGCGCTCACTGTCTTTTGTTAGATGGCTCCCAGATTTCTGTAAGCTGATAGACCTTTCATGAAACCTTGGGGGCAACATGACCAGAAGTGACTTTCATTTATGAGCTGTAGAATTCCTACTGGTTATAAATAAAAGACAGCACACTGCCCTAAAGTCTCCAGTGTCTTCTTGATAGTTTTGCAAATACCTCCCTGGAATCTTATGGATATTCATGCTTATAAACTTTAAAATCTTGCAGTTTCTTAAAGTTAAGAAACTGATGCAGTCTGTTGAGACTTCAGCATTGTTTATATCTGATGAAGACATTCAATTTCTTATATTGTAAGAACAAAACCTCTTATATTTTCAAATACAAATGTCAGGTAAAAAGGGATATGGATGGGGCTGCAAAATCTGTTCCTTTTTACTGACTCACGTGTGTAACAGTACCTAAGGCAAATGGATACTGTTTTCTGAATTTATAATGTCTCCTTAAGACCTTAAGAAAATATGTGAACTTTTCATGCTTATATTGTTTTTGAACTTCAGCTACATTTTTAAAATCTCCATGAGAGGGATGTCTTTGTGGTAGATTCCTCTCATTTATCACATTTCTTATAGTTCTGCATCATCATCTCTATTTTGACACAACTCCTGATAAAACAAATGCTGTTATTTTCCTCTTCTGCGGTTGCTGGGAAGTCTGAAAGATGACAGTTGCTGTACACACACCTGATGTACACAGACTGTGCTATTTTATATACAGAGCTTGAGGTGAAGGAGAATGAATTTGTTAAAGCCCATGTGACTATTTTCTGGCTTTGAGATAGACACTGTCAATCTTTTTTTTTTTTCTTCTTTTTTTTTTCAATATACAAATCTTATTCACATTTGGCCATTATACTTACACAGTGGTATAGTTGTAATCTACGCTTCGTCAGCAATATTTAAATATAAACAACATGGATCAACGTTGTATAAAATCACATTTTGTAATTTGATACTGCAAATAGGCAGAGTATTTTGCAGGACTAGATTATTCACCTCTCTGCTCTAGAATCTGGTCATGCAAATCTGTCACATAGCTACTGCTCTGCTCAAATAAGTGATCTGCTTACTGTGGGAGCTGGATTGTATGTCTCTCATTCTACCTATTACATAGATTTGATAGAGGAAAACACATCTGTTTTAACTTACTAATAAAAGGTGTATTCAAGAGCTGTGCATGCAGGCCAGTCAGTGATTTAGGGAGAAAAATAATACCTATACAAGAGTATTGGAAAATGCCAGCAGTGCATTTATCTCCCCACACCTAGGAGTGCACAGAAGTTAATAGTTAAAAAAAAAAGTACTCTGTAGACTTTTTAAAAGAATAGAAAATAGTACTTTTACTGTAGAAACAGACTAAAGTGTAAACAGACTGAAGTGCAGGTGTAAACTTTACTAGGTGTAGGTGTAACTTTACTAAGGTGTAAAGCGTATACATTAGTCTATTTTAATTCACCTGATTGTTATTTTAATATTGATAAACAAAAAGTGGTCAGTGCAAGTCATAGTGTAGTTTACTATGGTAATGGATCGAAACTTGAAAGAGCTCCACTAGTGCATGAAAATAAATTTATCTTGGTTTGGCTACCAAATATTCTAAGCAATCATCTGTTTCCTCTCTATAGCTATACTATTTAAATTGTTTGAATTTTTTTCAAGTTTAGCATCATTAAAGCTGCATAATCTCAATAGAGAAGGGCTGCCAAGGAAGGAAATTCTGATATCCACAGAGCTTAAAATCATTAAATCTGTTTTTCATGTCTTGGCTTATATTGCTGTTCTTTGTGATCTCCTCACGTATCTGTTAGCTCCATTGTGACTTTCAGATGGGGACAGAGAAACAGCAAGAAGGACAGCTTATTACTGCTTAAGAAACAGACACTATGATTTTCCTTCCTGTATCTCTAGGAGTAAAGCCACTGATTAACATTAAATTTTACACTTGTGCAAGGTCCTGTAGCCAGTTGGAAATGATGAAATGTGTTTTCTGCTTTGGGAGAGGCAGGCTTCAGATTATGCTCTCATAAGACGTTGTATCTTTTCTTGTAATGCATGTGATTGTCCAGTTTGATGTGAAACCATATAATTTTGACAAAATACGAGAACTCTGATAAAAATGCATTGCAGTTTCTATCTCTTGTAGCCTCTAAATAAGGCTGATGGACTCTGTCATTTAAGCACAGATTACTGCAAAATAATACCACAAAATTAAATCAAATTTTGATGTTCACCTTCATCATATTGTTTCAGTGTCATTCCAATATAAACCTTTTTGTATCAAAATATGTTTGAGTAACTGATCTGCTGTGTTCGTAACTGTTGCTACTATGAGACAAGTGTCTCCACTGCCTGCTTGCTCTACTTGGTTCTGACATGAAACAAGACAGTCATTAACAAGTCAGAAGTACAACAACAAAAACTCAATGCAAAACAAAATGTCTACTTATAAAGCACTGTACGTGGGATCAAGTGAAAAGTTTAAAAGTATTTTTTTAAATATTAAAAATATGAAACATATTATTCTTTAGGATCTGAGTTTGGGTGATGCTGTAAGTGAGACCTACTTTCTCATAGTACTTGATCTCGTAGTCCAGAATGGCTCCATGGGGAAAGTCCGGCTCTTGCCAGGAGAGGGCAATGCTGTTTTGGGAAGCCCAGTCCTTCCTTACCATACCTATCAAGGAGGGTGCTGAAAGGGAAAAGGATAACTACGGGTTAAAGACAAAGTACAATCTTTATCCTTTCAACCTACTGTCTTAGGATACCAACCCGAGGTAACTTTGAGTGACCTCCAGGCAGAAAAGCATGACAGATGGCAATTCTCAGGGAAACCATATAACCTGGAATTAATGTTTCAAGTACACACCAGTAACTCCTTTATTAAAGTGCAGACCAGCTTCTGAGAAATGGCTATATACAAAAAATTCTCACCCAGAAAGAAGTGCCTGAGTCAGTCTCCACCACTGTCTGTGCATGACCAGGATGTGCCGCTCGCTCTGAGAACATCATGTCCAGAGCACTGCTGTGTTTCAGAGATTAAATTCTTCATTCAGGATACCCTATGTTAAGTGTTATAGTTAAGCTAGAGTAGAACAAACATTTGATTTCCTCCTTGGGGTAAAATAATGTGACACAACCTAAAACAGGCATAACATACTCCATTCCTGCTACCTGGGCTGGCAGAAGCAAAACAATTCCAGTCCATCAGGGCAGTAGCTGTGTGCATTCAACAGCTGGCTGTTAGGGGAGGCGAGGGCAGTGGCAGGGTTAGGGCAAGCCATGAAAGCAGAGGTGCCCCAACCTACCTGCAGTAATTGACACCACAGGGCTGCAGCTGTGCACTGAGCAGGAACTGCTTCCAGCAGCTTTTAGAAGGGGCCCAACATGGATGGATGAACCCAAGAGCAAAGGTATCTCACTGTGGGTCTAACTGATTTTGGGAGTTGGATTTGCTGCCCTTTTGGAAAAGAAGAAGGACATAGAAGGACATTCTGCAATGTCAAATGAGGCAAAAATTCAAACACAAGAAACTCTATTTGCTTATTTAATTAAACTGGTCAAGTAAGGCAAAAGAAGGCTAATACTTTCTAGATACTAAAGCTGCTTTACAAGTATTGACATGAATCTTTCCCAAATGGAACAACAAAAGTCACATCTTTCAACAGTCTTGAAGACAACAGAGAAAGCTGAACGAATAAGTTACTGAACAGCACATCAGTGTCCCACCAGCTTCCTGTATCATATATATACATAAAGATTCTTCCAGTGATTTACCTTTCCCTATTTGTCGCTGCAATAACATATACCACCATATTACACACCTTCCCCCATTCCTCTCTATTGTGAATCATACTTAACCTCTTCTAAGCTCCTAAGGAGCTGCCTCTTGAAATAACATACTTTTATTACTTCAGTTTTTATCTTTTGAATAAAGGAGTCTCCTTAGTAAAGTGAAATAGGAATCTGCTTCTAGTCACAAAATTCCTCACCTTTGTTTACTTCCCTGTAAACATTTCAGAAAGTTTAAGAAATGAAATCAATAAATACAAGCTAGAAACAAACACTAAAGAAAACGGAACAGCTTGTTTTCCTTTGAAAGAAGGGAAGCTCTGCACACAGACACACGTATAGCAATCTCCGTTTCTCTGTGTCAGCAAGACAGAAAATAAACCCCTGCCCACTTAAGTCCTCCCTGTGGATAACTATTCTGTGGCACAACAGACCAGTCTCTATGATGGGATAAAAAGCTAACAGACCAACAGAAAATAACCGAAAGAAGAAAAAACTACCAAAAGTGATATGGATAAAACAGAGCTTACACAGGAAACTTTGCACCATTTTAACCATAGGTCTGATGCAAGGGAAAGAGAGAAAAAAAAGAATCCTCTCTTGCTGAATAAAGAATTAGTCTACTTTTCAGGAAGACCTCAAACAGCATCATATAACTAAACAGAGCGAAATAGACAAATAAATGAATAAAACACATTCAGAAGTTCTGGGCCAAAACGTTACTCCTGGGTACGTATAACTACTCCCTCAGTTAAAATGAAATTTTTATTCTTGAAAATTGAGGATGAAACTGAGTTCTGGTAATATTACTCTGGGGTAAAATCCAGTACTCCAAGTAGGGAACAAAGACAGGGCTGTTGAAAGGAAAACACGAGGCAGCAAAAATGGATTTGTATTTGTGAAACACTAATCAAGGGCCTATGAAGACAATTGCTCATATATACTCGTTTATTATTTGCAGTTTTGAGTCATTTACTGGCATCAAGGCAGAGGCTAAGGGAGCTCTGCAGGTTTTTCTGATCCACCTCGTCTGCCTGTTCGTGCCTCAGAGACTTCAGCTGGGCCACCCTCACTAGCACACCATGGCTTCACCTCTCTGCAGTGTGCATTCATTGGTCCAATAGCCAAATCCTTGCAAAATGATTGAGTATGCCTGCAGAAAACACTTGATCCTTCTAGGCTTTTTGAAATATAGATTACTGATATTATACTTCTTCAAATTATGACCTAACATGTGGTGCATTTTTCTTTGGGCTCTCATTCCCAAATTTCTACAACAATTTAAGTACATATTCTGTCTGAGTTCACTGCAGTAACTCTTCCATTTGAGCAAGTAGCCAACATCTTCTCCCTGGGAAACAGCTCAGGAGTAAAATAATGGAAGATATTTACTTCAGTCTCCTGTAAAACAGCTGTGGTTGACCTGCGCTTGAAAGGTCCCATGCTCACATCACACCAGCACCACAGTGCCAGCACTGCATCCTATAAATCAAAATGTGAAGGTGTGTGTGTGTAAGGCTCTGGATACTGTGTATTTGTGACTTTTTTTTATAAAAAACAGCAACAGCAGCAACAAAAAAACCTACACACCACACACAATACAATAAAACAAAACCAAAAGCCATTAACCATTTCTTATCCATTCAGAAGGATGCTACTAATTGTCATACAGAATTTACTTGTATGATGAAATAATTACTTAAGATGAAATAATTACTTAAAAAAGGAAATGGATTTCAGTCAGAAATTTATTAGTACAAAGAGATAAGCACCTAAGAATAAGTAATAAAAAGTTGCAGCTAGTCAAGTTTCTATTTTTTCAGTTACTATCATTTTTAAAACAATATTTTCACTGGAAAAATTTCAGCTCCTTATAAGATTAGCTCAGTAGAACAGAAATGATTTAGACCCTAAGAATGTTACCCATTCATTGTTAGAGCTCTCTTAAACTGGAAATTTGTAAGACGGGTAAATCCTATTTGCTTGTATATTAAGACTGCTAAAATGTTCCTACGATGAATCAATGGGAAGTTCTTTTAATTAGTTTCTTCAAATCCAGTAACTGCAGGAGAGCTCTAATTTGGTTATCCACTGAAAGCATTTGAGGAAAAAAAAAAAAAAAAGCTTGAATCCCAGCATGACTTTTAATCATTTTAACGGCAGCATTTTCTTGACACTGGTACTAGGCTGAAGGATGGTTTCTGGCTCTTGATCTCAGTGTTGATCTCAGTTTTGTACTAAGAATTCTTTGCACCATCTGCTCTCTATGTTTTCCTCTACGCTCTTATAAAATTTTTGAATTGCAATGAGTCATCTACAGTGCTGTCAGCTCCTATTAATTTAGTCTGATAGCTTTCCTTGTCTTTTCAAATTTGAATTGAATAATGAATGTTCATTCCTCAATTCAGAGTGAGAATATTTTATTCTAAATGTCTTTGGTTTCTTTTTTTTACTGAATCTCTTTGTTTACTCATACATTGTATAGAAAGCAGAAAATTGTAAATGATGGTTGAAATCCAGTGTCATTTGTATAGAAACTTTCTCTTCTTCCTAGATTGACTTCCATTATCTGTAGTCCCTGATTTCAAAAGAGGTGATCTACAGGACTTCTGAAGCTTTTCCCCCTTAGCCTATTTTGTAATTTTCCAATTTCTTGTTTCATTTTGTTAAAAATGGGCAAAGCATTTCCAACATTTTTCACAAGTTTTCCAGACAAAACAACTTTAGTTTGTTGCCTGCTGAGTATGCAGAATCTTCAAACCCAGCAGCAGCTGATGACAAACGCTCACCCGATGTCTGTTTCGTCCAATCTACTCCTCTACTATTACATTTCAAATCTTATTTTCTTTGAAGAGAAACCACGTCAGCTCACTGTCGTTTTAGTGGATGCCAGAACAGGCCCTACTAGAAATCTGTGAAGTCTCTTGTTAAAGAAAACTATCAACCAACAAACAAGATAAGCTACATGATTGTTGCCCCCTTTCCTTCTCTCCCATCTGTTTTGGCCAAAGTCTATGAAGTGCCAGCAGTCATCTGGACACCATCCTCATTTCTAAGGACCTCCATGTATAAAATACTGCCAGTGGGAATGATGTGGTTTAACTTAGACACACATTTCTATACCATCACCATTACCAGTAATAATCTGAAGTGCAATAATTATACGCTATTTTTCTCAAGAGCTCTGCCAGCTTCAAGACATAAGAAGGACCATACTCACCCAAATATAGGGCTTTATCAATGTTTTTGGAGTAAGGCTTTTCCAACAAAGGAGGGAATCCAGCTTGGTCCCTTCCTCTTCTTTCTCTCCTACCTTGGCCACTTCCCAAATGTAACTGAGGGAAAACACTAAGGCCCACTCAGGAGATTGCTTCTAATTGAATTCATTAATCAAGCACTTTTTGTTTCCTATGATACAGTTAGAAGAGGAAACACGCTTCAACGCCTTGCAAGAAGCCTGCTTTCCTCTTGTTCTTTCATTAAGACAAGGACTGTTGCGAGTGGAGGAAATATCAATGCTACAAGGAGCAATCCAAGTTCACTTTGGTTTCATGTCTATGTTGGTCAGAATACAAAAGAAGATGGGTTTACTGAAAGACACATTTTCAAGCTTATGTCACATGTAAATTGTATGAATTAATTTACATAGGAAACTTTTTTTGAAACAACAAGAGCTATGGTTATCTAATTATCCAGTAACATTCTACAGAAATTTTAGGAAATTAATGAAACAGAGTATGGAATAAGTACATTAACTTTTCAGTGGTTTCTCCTCTTGCTTAACCGTAGTAGTAGAAAGTTCTTTTGTGAACTACTGATACTAGATATTAAAGCAAAGTGTGTTCTAGATTTGTGTTTCTCATTATAAATACAGCTATACTTTTTAAAGGTGTCGTTTTT